TATAAGCCAGAGAAAGTCCAGTCTTTTTAACATAGTTCTATTCTGAAAGGCTTAAAACCTAGCCAGTAAAAGAGAGTCAGGGGGATGGGGTGCCTGGGTGACTTAGTCGGTTAAGCGACTGACTTTCGCTTGGGTCATGATGTCGCGGTTCCTGGGTTCGAGCCCCTCGTCGGGCTCTGTGCTGACTGCCGGCTCAGAGCCTGGAGCCTGTTTCAGAGTCTGTGACTCCCTCTCTCTCTGACCCTTCCCTGCTCATGCTGTCTCTCTCTCTCTCTCTCCTAGAAATAAATAAAAAAACATTAAAAAAAAAAAAGAAAGTCAGGGTCTACTACAGCCACCCCTCCACAACTGGGCCCACACTGAGGCCCGCTGGCTGGCCTGGAGAATTAACTGGTATCTTAGGATGGGGTAGAGGGTAGAAAAAACTGAGGCGGGAGATAGAGCAGGGAGGGAATACAAATAAGTCATCTCCCCCCTGGGAGAGGTGCTTTGGTACAAAGTGAAGACTGACTCCCTACGTATTCATGGTTGGGTAATAATCACTTTACTCTCTTTCTGTAAAGAAACTATACCTGCACACCCTTCCAGATGCTACAGGCACAAATAATGTGGGACAGGTAAGAATGATGTTTTAGAATTATAAGCAGTAAGGAAAGAATTCCTGTTTGTTTCCCTGGTTAATGGATGAGATGCTACTACATTAAGTCTATCACCACAACCAGGAAATGGGACTGAGTCTGAGAGATGACGCTATGTAATAAACATCTGACTCCAGTTTTGATGCTGACCACTGGAATTTGCAAGCCTCACCTCCACTTTCACCTTTTGTCCCACATGTGGGCGAGGTGGGGGGAGTTCAAATTGCTCAAAATCTTGGCCTGTATGTGGGAACACTCACCAAGTTTCACCTCTTAAACACAGTAAAACCCAGAGCCACTCACCTTTCTTTTGCTGAAGTCATTTTTGGACTAGCTTAGGTGTCTGAACTGCTCTTCCAGAAAGTCTCAATATGTGAACAACAAATTTCTTCCTACCTTCTTTTTTTTTTAATGTTTTATTTATTTTTGAGAGGGAGAGGAAGAGAGAGAATGCGTGGAGGGGCAGAGAGAAAGGAAGACAGAGGACACAAAGCAGGCTCTTCCCTGACAGCAGAGACCCCGATGTAGGGCTCGAACCCACGAACTGCGAGATCATGACCTGAGCTGAATTTGGATGCTCAACTGCCTGAGCCACTCAGGTGCCCCTCTTCCTACCTTCTTGATGCATATGTGGTATCATCAGTCTTGACAGTGAACCAGTTTTGGGTAGATGGGGGTCCATCATGCCTCTGTGAAGTGAACACAGAGGCATATCACACTGGATGAATGACCAGGAAAATTCTGTCTGGTGTCAAAATACACAAAGAACCCAGACTCGCTTCGAGGGAAGGATCAAAAGATTTTCACTGCTTTATAAGTTCTAACATGTTAGTCATAAAGCAGAGATGCCTAGAATGCAGGCCAGGAGGCGGTATTGGGAGAGGCTGTCTGAACTGCACATCTATTTTTCCCTGTCGAGAATCCCTTTCCACTCTCTCTGTCTCCTCTCACCCTCTGTTAACAGAACCTTGATTTCACTTTGAGGAACTCCCTTTCCCAGGCTGTTAATCCTGCCCCTGTGAGTTAAGACGGGTGTATGATATTGGTTTGACCAGAGTACTGTAGCTCTTTGATCACAGTGACTCTTTCCATGGCAGCTACATAATTCAAAGAGTTTTGGTTGATATTTGCTGAAATAGAATTATCAATCCCTGGATCTTCTTGTATCCATCTCCCTTAGTACTGCCTTGCAGGGAGAGATCAAATCATTGTGTTAGGCAAATGTTTGAATCAGTCATGATTCCTTCAATTGCAAGTAAGAGAAACCCAATTCAATTGGTTTCTATATAGAAGTATATCCCAAGGTATTCAGAGTATTTGCTTATGTTGCTATAAGATCACTGGTTATGGTTGTCTTTTTTTTTTATGTTTTATTTATTTCTGAGAGAGAGAGAGAGAGAGCAGGGAAGGATCAGAGAGACAGGAAGATACAGAATCTGAAGCAGGCTCCAGGCTCTGAGCTGTCAGCACAGAGCCCGATGCGGGGCTCGAACCCACGAACCGTGAGATCATGACCTAAGTCGAAGTCAGACGCTTAACCAACTGAGCCACCCAGGTGCCCCTGGTTATGGTTGTCTTTTAATTTTTATCTTTTCTGCCTTCTTCTTTCTTTTCCTTTTCTTTTTCTTCTTCTTCTTTTTTTTACTTTTAGGGGCATAGCTTGGCCATCAACAAAGCCTCTCAAGGAGGGCAGGAACAATTCTGGTTCAGCTTGGTTGGGGTGAGACACTTAGATTTACTCTGCTATGTACCATGGAGTCATCTGACTAGGGTTTGGGGGCAGTTAGGCACTATTTATTGAATCTCAAGGTCGCTTCATGTGATCTCTCTTCATTAGTTAACTTGGACTTCAGCAATGCATGGTGGCTTCAGGGCAGTTGAAAAGCTTATGTTTCTTAAAGTTTTAGAAGCAAATATTTAAAGAGAACCAACTGGAAACTATCTAATCTTTTCTGACCTCATCTTTAAAATGATGAAGCATCACTTCCACTACTTTCTACTGGTTACAGTCAAATCACTAAGGTTGGTCTAGATTCAAGAAGGGGCATAGATCCCACCTCTCTGTGGGAGTAGTATCAAGGTCATTTGTAGAAAACAAGTGACATGGGAGAAATTACTGCAGGTGACTGGAATAATACCATCTGCCACAATAACTACAGTCATAAGATATTAAATTACAAATTGCAATGTCAAGTTATTAGTCTACAGTAGGAGACCTACCTTTCCACTGACCCCAGTGCTCAGATCTGACAAAAACACCTTTCTCCTCATATTAGGATCTGGTGTAAAACACTGTCAGGATGTTGTTGGGTGGGAATGGAATCAGAGCAGAGGAGCTTAGGTAGTATTGAAAGGTATTTCCTTTAAGATGGAGCCAACTTTTGCAGCATTGTTTACGACAACCAAGATACGGAAACAACCTGTGTCCATCCATAGATGAATGGACAAAGATGTGTTATACACATACAGTGAAATATCACTCAGCCATAAAAAGGAATGAAATCTAGCCATTTTTGACAACATGGATGGACATAGAAGGCATTATGCTAAGGGAAGTGAGTCAGAGAGAAAATAAACAATACCATGATTTCCTGAACCTGTGGAATCTAGAGCCCCAAAAAAACCAAAAAATTCTAGAGCACAAAAAATAGAGAACAAATTGGTGGTTGCTAGAGGGGATTGGTGGGAAGATGGGTGAGATAGGTGAAGGGGATTAAGAGGCAGAAACTTCCAGCTTTAAGATAAATAAGTCACAGGGATGAAAAGTGCAGCAAGGGAATATCGTCAATAATATTGCCATAACTTTGCATGGTGACACATGGTAACTACACACACAAGGTAAACATTTCTTAATGGACATAAATGTTGAATCAATATGTTCTACACCTGAAACTAATATAGTATTGTATGTCAACTACACTTCAAATTAAAAAAAGAGACGAGGCCACATTTGGTCAAGTTCATGCCTTATTCCAAATGCTGCATATTTCTCCAGTGGTCAGAACACTCATGCGTGTTTATATAATTTGTGTCTTTAGTGGACAGTGCTGGACAAACACCACCGGATTATTTTACCTAGGTTCTCTTTTTCTAGATTCTATCGACCATCTTCTTTCTGTAAACGATTAAGTTACACTTGCTTTGTTTCTCAGTCGTCACATTTCTTCCTTAGACTATATTCTTTTTGACTAGATGAAGATGTCTTGCGAGGTATTTACAGGGTACTTATTGGTCCAGGTAACTTACATCAACAGCTGGACTGATATATGCACCAGTTTTTCCCTCCCAGAGGGAAACTTGATTTCCAAGTCATGGGACAAATCAGTGTAACATGTGTTTCCGTTCAAAGCCTTTGTTTATTTGGATTTTCTCTAATAAATATGAAAGTGCTCTTCATATATTTTAAGTACTAATTATCTTAAACACCACATTTGAGGGATATATTCCCTATGCTGTTAGATTTCCTTTGTGATTTCTTCCATTATGTTATAGCTAAAACAATTATAACTTCACATAACAGACACATTTTCAAAATGCAACCTTGTTAAGCACTTAACACTTTGCATCTCTGCTCCATGACTTATTGCCTCTGCGTGTTATTTAATTCCCGGGGTTCCCTCCATTCTATAAGGGTAATAACAGCAATTGGTTTTTAAAGATTAAACCACCCATTTTTAAGGGCTTAGCTCAATGACGAACACAAAAAAAGTGCTCAGTATATACAACTTTTCGCCCAGCACCCAAACGTCTAAATACACTGTACGCTGTGTTTTAACCATGCTTTGGAAAATTAGAGAATTTTTCTATAGAAAAGCAAGATCTTGCTTTCTTCAAAGCTGTTTTTTTATTGTATTTTTTTTTCACAAATAGTTTATTGTCAAGTTGGTTTCCATGTAACACCCAGTGCTCACCCCCACAAGTGCCCCCCTCCGTGCCCCTCCCCCCCATCAGTCTTCAGTTTTTGTCAGCATTCAAGAGTTTGGTGGGGGAAAGGGAGAGAGGCAAACCATGAGAGACTATTGAATCTTCAAAGCTGTTTGAAGCCCAGCACCGCGTAGCAGCAGCGCCCCTGGACCCACCTGGGGCTACGAAGTCACCTCGCACCCGCTCCCGGCCTCCGGGGGGAGGGGCTTCCCGGCTGCCCCGCAGGCCTCCCCCGCCCGCCTCGCGGCCGCCGCCAGGGGCCGCCCTCCGACCTCCGGCGCCCGCAGGCCAGGCGCGGGGCCACGGCGCTCCGAGCGCGGGCTGGGGGCCGCGGCGCAGGGAGGTGGCCGGCGGGCCTGGCGGGAGGCGGGGACCGGGAGGCCTCGGCGGAGGCAGCGGGCCCTGCCCGGGCGGACGGCGGGAGGGGGCGCTGCGGGGCCGGCCGGGCGCGGCGCGGAGGAAGTGCCGTCTTCGCCGCTTCAGCTACTGGAGCCGCCTCAGGCGCGCCGCGGGTCGCCTCCGCCGCGCCGGCCGCGATGTCTTCCCGGCCGGGGCGTGACGACGCGCGGGCCGGGGGCGCGCGGCGGCCGCGGGAGTCGGCGGAGCAGGAGCTGCAGCGGCGCCGAGAGCAGAAGCGGCGGCGACACGACGCGCAACAGCTGCAGCAGCTCAAGCACCTGGAGTCCTTGTGAGTCCGCGCCGCCCGCGCTCCTCCGCGAGCCGTGCGTTCGCGGTGCCCGGCGCCGCGGGGACGCGCGAGGCTGGGTCCCGGGGGGACGCGGGCAGCGGGCCCGGGCCACGTCAACCCCCAGTTCCCGCCCCGCGCGGCGCGGCCACCCGACCTCCAGGGGCGCCTCCGCGGGGAGCGAAGGGCCGTTGCCCGCGCGCGCGGAGCGGCCTGGGCGGGCGGGGCAAGCGCGGGCTCTGGTTCCGCGCGCGAGGCCGGCGTGCGGCCCGGGCTCTGCGGGGCGGGCGCTGAGGATCCGGCGGCACTCAGTAGGCTCTGCGTCGCGATTTGGGGACTGAACGCGCGGCAAGTGCAGTGAGCGCCGCGGTCCTGCCCTTTCACGGTGTCGGTTCAGCGGGCCCGCAGTGAACCGGCCCAAACCCGCCTGGTCTTCATCGGCTGCGACGGGGGACGAGAGGCGGCCGTCCTGTGCAGTTGGGGCGGCGCGGAGGGAGGGCTGCAGGACGGGGTGCGGGACTGTCCCTAGAGATCCCGAAGGCGGCTGTCAGGTGGAAGAGCGTGGCGACTGGCTCTCTTCAGCCCTGAGAATCTGGACCAGCGTGGAGGGTGGGAGCTACGGAGAGCCCAGCTCCAGCCCCGCAGGAAGAATTAGGACCGGAGGCTCCCGTTCCTGCTGGTGCGCGTGGCCTCACTTCAGGCACCGGGCACGCCGGGTTCCAGCGGGTTCGAGGACACTGCCCGTAGCCTGTGGGAGAAGGGCAGGTTGTAGAGGAGTTGGAAACATCAGCTGGGCGCTGGGCTTGCGGCCTTTCGGTGCTCTTCTGTGATTCTGCCACTCTAATTAGCTCTGGAAGATTAACTTGTAAGTTTGCTGTTCCCTGAGTTATTCAGTAAATACCCCGTTTCTGTTTCAGGCACTTCTGTTACCTCTGCTAAGACGATATATAAAGAAAAGTCCTCAAAGGAGTCAGATCCTTTGTAATTAACCTGAGAGCTCTGACACAAAATGCTTTGCGTTGTTGGAGACTGGCCTGCTCTTTTCAATGTGACCCTTCAGTCATCAACTACCTTCCTTTACATTTGTGAAAACAGTTGTAAATGGACTTTTTAAAGGAAATGCCATTGCTAATAATAGATTTCACAGTGTGTAGTTCCATCACACTCCTTTTCATCTTGGCAATAACAATTACAGATTTTTCAGGAATTTGGATTTCTGTTTGGCCATCTGTTGTTTTTGTACAATTCTGTGGCTCAGAGGAGGTATTACTGGATTATTGGATTCATAGAATGTACCAGCAAACTCCCTTTGGTCTCTTTGCATAAATATTTCTAACGAATAGCTGCAGATGAACTGAATCATTTCCCCAATTTGTACAGATTTCCATTGTTCTTGCTATGTTATGCCACCACTTTGTGTTAGAAAATATTTCAGCGTTTGCTTTGGACAATCACTATACCAGGCCTAAGAGGCTAAGTCTGTTGATGTCTACTTGTTTACTATGTAATCTTCATGGGGCAGATCCTCCCCTGTCTGCTCAGAAAAGCTCTCGAATAGTCTCCTGGCATTTGTCATTTACCACCTGGCAAGTTGTTTTCTTCCACCTCTGCTGGTCCAGATCTTGGCCTCTCTGATGCTAGCGCACCCTTCAGTCTTAAGGTGCCTCATGAAGCTTTTGAGAGGATTGAAGACATGGATTTGTCTTCAGCAGAAGGGACAGAAGCCAGCATTATGAAGTGTATGACGTGATCTGTTCACCCATGTGGAAATTGAGGCTCTGGGGGGGTTAAGTAACGTGCCCCAAGTACACAGTGAGAACGAGTCATAATTCAGACCAAAGGTTTTTACCTCCAAATCCCATGAAGTTTCCACTCTGCCTCGCTTTACTTCTACAGAATTCTCATTCACACTGATTTAGAACTGAAAAATACTCCTCCTAGAATTTGGGATCTTATCCTCCAAGAAGATAGAACATTTCCTTTTATCAGGGCAGTTTCAAAGAGTTATTGACGCTTCTGAAAGTAGTTTTCATTTTATGTTTTTTTGGATGTAACTAGTTATATCTTTATGCTCTTAGTTCTCCCTTCTAGTACCTAGCAACATGCTGGCCACAATAATTGACTGGTTACTTGTACAAGGAGCAAGTTTTTATGTTGAACCCTTAATATTTTCTGAATATCAAATTTAGTATTGCCTATTGTACCTGCTCCTTTTTTGTGGGAGGAAAATATCAAGTTGGTTAGGGCTAGGGTGAGGATTATATTCCTGAAACAATTACAGAAATAGCATTGTTAAAACAGAAATCCAGCCTCTATAACTCTATAGCAGATATGGACTCCTAATAGCATATTTTTGGCTCCAGTTTTCTTTCTTAGTCCCAACTTATCTTTGGTTTTTCTCTCAGAGATACATTAACCTGGGCTAATACCAACATAGCTGTAATGTAGATACTATTGGTACTATTTTTCTTTTGCAGTTAAAAAGCATTTTGTGGGTTAATACACATAGATGTGAATACAGTGAAAAATCAAGATCTCTCCCATTAATGAACCTTGGTTCCTCTCCCTAGAGGCACGCATGTAACCAATTTCCTAGGCATCCATATAGAGATAGCTTAGTGTGTGTGTGTGTGTGTGTGTGTGTGTGTGTGTGTGTGGCCATATATAGTCTCCTTTTTCCCATACACACAAATAGGAGCTTACCAAATACATGTGTTGCTCCCTATGTCCTCCCTCAACCCCCCCCCCTTTTTAACTTAAACTATTATGGAGATTGTTCCATATCAATATCTAATTCACTCTTTTAAGATTTATCAATGTTTATCTGTTGATAAAAGTAATACATTTTCATTATAGAAAATGTAATTAGTCACCCTTTGCTTTAGCGTCTGGGTGCAGCAATGTTAAAGTACTCACATTTACAATTTTCTGGAGTCTTCACAGTTTTAAACCAGCTGCTATGCCTAGATATCCTCAGTAAAACATTCTTTGCAGGTATTGAATGCACCCAGGATATTTGGTTATGATGGTTTTTTTTTTCATTCTTATTTTCATTTTTGGTCCTATCAACATTCATAATTAAAAGCCAAATACCCATGTAGTGGGTTATGGCTAGTAGTGTTATAGCTACTAGTTATAGTTAGTCAGTACTTAAAAATGAACATTAGCATTAGGGCGCCTGGGTGGCTTATTCAGTTAAGCATCTGACTTTGGCTCAGGTCATGATCTCACAGTTTTTGAGTTTGAGCCCTGCGTCAGGCTCTGTGCCAACAGCTCAGAGCCCGTAACCTGCTTCGGATTCTGTGTCTCATTCTCTCTCTGTCCCTCCCCTACTTGTGCTCTGTCTCTCCCTGTCTCTCAAAAATAAGTAAACGTAAAAAAAACCTTTTTTAAATGAACATTAGCAGTTGGTGTTGATTTTCCAGATTTGGAATTCAGAACCCTTTTGGGGCACCTCGACAGAGTGATAGGAAGTGAAAATGAATCGGGAGCATAGGCATGATGTGTCTTTACCCTTAAGGTCCTTGGGGGTCTGTGAGCTCCTTGGTGATTCCCACAAATCATACATCTGCTTACTCTAGCAGCATTCAGTAAAGAGAGTCGTCCAGGCCCCGTGCAGGGGTCCTGCGCCCCGAGTCCAGTCAGTACGGGCACAAAGCGGAGGAATGGATGGCTCACTCTGCGGGCAGGGTGGGTGGGCAGGGAAATGGAGGGGAAGCCTCTAGGACAGATCACCGTCACCTCCATCCCCTGCAACAAGCCGTTCCCTCCAGTTTCGCTCGTGCCCCGCTGCACTGCCCCATCCAAGTTAGAACAGATTCCTCCACCTTCTCCCCATAAGCATCTTCCATGCTGAGTAAGTGCAGGTTATGGTAAGTCAATAACCTGACAACAGTGACAGTCCGGAAGCATGATTAGCTCACGTGTCTTCCCGCACATTTCCCCTGCAATCTCTTGCTTTCTCTTCTTCACAAATAAAGTCATTGGGCTCAGACACCAAGTTATTATTTCAGTGAATTTTAGTGCTAGATCTCTGCAGGATGTGGTGTAGNGTGATAGGAAGTGAAAATGAATCGGGAGCATAGGCATGATGTGTCTTTACCCTTAAGGTCCTTGGGGGTCTGTGAGCTCCTTGGTGATTCCCACACATCATACGTCTGCTTACTCTAGCAGCATTCAGTAAAGAGCGTCGTCCAGGCCCCGTGCAGGGGTCCTGCGCCCCGAGTCCAGTCAGTACGGGCACAAAGCGGAGGAATGGATGGCTCACTCTGCGGGCAGGGTGGGTGGGCAGGGAAATGGAGGGGAAGCCTCTAGGACAGATCACCGTCACCTCCATCCCCTGCAACAAGCCGTTCCCTCCAGTTTCGCTCGTGCCCCGCTGCACTGCCCCATCCAAGTTAGAACAGATTCCTCCACCTTCTCCCCATAAGCATCTTCCATGCTGAGTAAGTGCAGGTTATGGTAGGTCAATAACCTGACAACAGTGACAGTCCGGAAGCATGATTAGCTCACGTGTCTTCCCGCACATTTCCCCTGCAATCTCTTGCTTTCTCTTCTTCACAAATAAAGTCATTGGGCTCAGACACCAAGTTATTATTTCAGTGAATTTTAGTGCTAGATCTCTGCAGGATGTGGTGTAGCATCAGTTTACTTATATAAGATCTCTGACTGCTGGGCATATTTTACTGTTTTTTTTTTTTAATGTTTTATTTATTTCTGAGAGAGAGAGACAGTGTGAGCAGGGGAGGGTCAGGGAGAGAGGGAGACACAGAATCTGAAGCAGGCTCCAGGCTCTGAGCTTGCTGTCAGCACAGAGCCTGACGTGGGGCTTAAACCCACGAACTGTGAGATCATGACCCGAGCCGAAGTTGGACGCTTAACCGACTGAGCCACCCAGGCACCCCTTATTTTACTGCTTTAGATCTAACGTAGTTTTAAGGTTTTACTAAAGATATTCTTTTCATTTTGGCCTGCAGTTGCTTTTTGCTCATTAAAATGTATTGTTTTCCTGTTAACATGATTGATGGCATTTTTTCTTTTCCTTTCTAGTTATGAAAAACCTCCTCCTGGGCTTATCAAGGTCAGTGTGAAGTTTGTTCCTTTGGTTATTCTCTCAGACATATTTGACTCAGTAACTTGTTATGAAAACCTGTTGCATAAGGTTTGGACCAGCCTTTTATCATAACCCTGCTTCTCCCTGCAGATGCCAGTCAGTCCGTACACTTTGGGCTTTGTGTCTCCAGCCTGTGTCCTTATAGAAATGTAATCAGCTGTGTGTCTGTTCCCTAAGAAACAATGGCAGGCCCACGTGTTCCTCAGCAATTGGTCCCCTTCTCTGTCTCTTGCTGTGGCTGCGTCTTCTCCCAGCTCTGTGCTCCATCTCGGACTCGCTGCTGGTTTCCTGAGTGTCATCAGCTCAGAGAACAGTAGTCTGTGTGGCGACTGGAAGCTCCTCTAGTCCAGCACCTGGTGCAGGACACCCCCTACCACTCCCTGCCAGCACCTGGCCATGTTGTCCAGTGCCTGTGAGAGTGAGACTTAGAGGGCTCTTTAGAGGCCAGAGCAACTTTATGCATGCTCACTTTGAATGAAAAGAAAAGATTTTTAGGGATGCCTGCCTGGCTCAATTGGTAGAGCATGAGACTCTTGATCTCAGGGTCATGAGTTTAAGCCCTGTGTTAGGGGTGGAGCCTATCTAAAATAAAAAAATAAAAAATATATATTAAAAATTTTTACTTAAAAGATTTTTAAGTGTTCTTCCACTATAGATTTAGTATTCATGAAACTGAAAAAAACTTTTTAATTGTAAATGTAGATATTCAGTGGTAAGTATGCAACTCAGATATAGCAGGTGTGTGACTAGAAAACATGACAGTGGCCTTCAAAGTATAATAAGTATTTTAACATAACGTTTATATATAATATTTTACATTTATATTTATTTTCAGAGAGAGAGAATGAGAAAGAGCATACACGCAGGAGCAGGGGAGGGAGGAACATGGAGAGAGAGGATCCCAAGCAGGCTCTGAGCTGTCAGCGCGGAGCCCGATGCAGGGCTCAAAACCACGAACCATGAGATCATGACCTGAGCCAAAACCAAGAGTCAGATGCTTAAGTGGCTGAAACAGCCAGGCAACCTTATGTTTTTTTTAATTTAATTTTTTTCTTTTTAATTATTTATTTTTTAGAGAGAAAGAGAGGGAGGGGCAGAGAGAGAGGAGACAGAGGATCCAAAGTGCCTCTGTGGCTGACAGCAGAAAGCCCAATATGGGGCTCAAACTCACAAACCATTATGAGATCATGACCTCAACTGAAGTCGGATGCTTAAGTGACTGAGCCACCGAGAGGCCCCTTAAATTTTAAGTAATTGTACACACAACATGGGGCTTAAACCTCAAACCTGAGATTAAGAGTTGCACCCTTCTGAGCCAGCCAGGCGCCCCTACTTTGTTATACCTTGCCTCATTTCACAAGGATATTGAGGTAGTAGAACCTTTTTTTGATCTTTGAATCTAATTTATGTTAGAATTTGGAGCTCACAGGGCCACTGGGTGGCTCAGTCACTTGAGCGTCCAACTTCAGCTCAGGTCATGATCTCACGGTTCATGGGTTTGAGCCCCATGTCCGGCTCTGTGCTGANACTTTGGCTCAGGTCATGATCTCGTGGTTCGAGGGTTTGAGCCCCGCGTTGGGCTCTGTGCTGACTGCTAGCTCAGAGCCTGGAGCCTGCTTCAGATTCTGTGTCTCCCTCTCTCTCTGACCCTCCCCTGCTCACGCTGTCTCTCTCTCTCAGAAATAAATAAAACATTAAAAAAAATCAAGAATTTGGAACTCACAGATTATTCCTATATGAAGGGCAAATTTCTGCTTTAATAGTAACTTTTCTCTAAGAACAACTACTTCATTTTCATGATATAGTTCTTCTGGTACATTTATTTCTGGGTTTTCTGTCAGGTATAATCTGTCTTTCTTTCTACTGGAGAGGGTAACTTAGGATGACATGGGCATGTCCAGCCCATGTGAGAGTCAGGCAGGGCTGCATTCTGAAGCAGGTAGGAGAGAATTCCAGTGTTCTTTTGCCATGTTGTGTATGCGTTTTTCCTTTTTTAGGAAGATGAGACTAAGCCGGAAGACTGTATACCAGACGTACCAGGCAACGAACATGCCAGGGAATTTCTGGCTCACGCACCAACTAAAGGACTTTGGATGCCCCTGGGGAAAGAAGTCAAAGTTATGCAGTGTGAGTATGGGAGAGTTTCAGGTAACACTCTTCAGTACATACAACTTACACACCACGACTTACAAAGTGTGTTTACTTCCTTTTTGTTTTTTTCTCACCAAGCCCTGCTAAGCCGAGGCATGATCTCTGTTTCATAGTTAAGGAAGCCGACCTGCATATGTTAGTGAGTGTCCTACGTAAGAGGCAGAGCAAGTCTCACTCCCAATGGCAGTGGTTGCCCACAGGACCGTAGCTGCCTTTGGAGTACACGCCTCGGTAATATTCAAGTAACAGAAAGGATTTCCGTTGCAGAAATGCCACGAGGGACAGAGATGCATTGGAGGGCAGGTCCCTTTGGGTCTTGCCTCAGTCATTCACCCCCCATCAGTGGTGTTAAGGTTTCATCCATGTGACCTGAAAGGAGCTGCAGCCACAGAGAGGGGGTCCAGAGCAGGCGTGCTGTGCATGCACGCCCCCATCTCCCCAGAGCCGCAACACCTTCATCCATCTTAATGGTATTTAGGACTTGAAGAAAGGGTACTGCTGCCTTTTAAAGACGTTTGTACAAAGATTCATCATGTACATAATTAAAGTAGTTCCCAATCTCTTTTTCTCCATTCCCACTTTTAGCTCTTTTAGTTGGTTATTTTGATATTTATCTTCAGAAGCCTGAGATCACATTTATATTGCATTGATTTTTCAGGTGTAGGTGGTATTTGTTGACATTGTACCATGGAAGATGAGTATTTACCTCTTACTACATACATGTACCCTTACTATATCACATCTTGCCCAAAATAGTTTTTTCATAATTTTGGTTAGATAATCCTTTGATATTTACTTTGTTATAATTATATCCAGAGCTGAGTCATATAGTAAACTGATTACTTTTCCTTTTCATGCATCCTGAATAATTTCCTCTTTTCCCCCACAGATTAGCAATTGCCTTGTTTTGGTGTGTGTTATGTGTATGTGTTTTGTTTTGTTGTTACTGTTTTTGCTTTCCAAATACTGATTTCTTCTTATTCAGTCTCACATAGTTCTAAAAGTTGAATCTTAAGACCTTCAAATGCCTGAGACAATCAATTACATTCTTCTGAAAATGGTTGCTTCCATGCTTATCACACAGAAATCTCCCTTCACTTTGTGTTATGTTTGTTTGAGAGAGAGCAAGCAGAGGAGAGGGAGAGAGAGAATCTTAAGCAAGGACCATGCCCGTATAGAGCCCAATGAGGGGCTCAGTCTTATGACCATGAGATCGTGACCTGAACTGAAATCAAGAGTCTGACACTTAACCAACTGAGCCACTCAGGCACTCCTCACTTTGTGTTATGAATTGAATGTTTGTGTTCCTCCACAGATTCATATATTGAAGCCCTGATCCCCAGTAGGATGGTATTTGGAGATAGGACCTTTGGATGGTAATTAGGATTAGATAAAGTACTGAGGGCAGCTTTGATGATATGATTAGTTCCTTTTAAGAAGAGACCAGAGAGCTTGCTCTCTGTCCACTGTGTGAGGACACACCATGAGATGATGCAGCTATCTGCAAGCCAGGAGGACAGTAATCATCAAAAACCAAGCCTTTCAGCATCCAGATCTTAGATTTCCAGTTTTTAGCCTATGAGAAACTAAATTCCTGTTGTGTAAGGGACCCACTCTATATTTTATTATCGGAGTCAGAACTGACTAAGACACTCATTCTGCAGTTTCCCTTAGCTTCCTTCCTGTATTGAATCTCCTGTTTTCCTATATGGTGACTCATCTTTGTTGTTACAATCTCTTGTTATGGTGGAACCAAGACCATTAAATGGGGAAAGGGCAGTCTTTAAAAAAAAAAAAAAAAAAAATGGACATCCTCATGCAAAAGAATGAAGTTGGATCCTTATCTAATATCATATATAAAATTTGACTCTAAGTGGATCACAGACTTAAATGTAAGACCTAAAACTATAAAATCTCTTAGAAGAAAACAGAGCAAAGCTGCACAAAATTGGACTTAGTAATGATTTCTTGGGTAAAACACCAAAGGTACAGCCAACAAAAGAAAAAACAGGCAAATTTGACTTCATGAAAACTAAAATTTTGCAAATAAAAGACATTAACAAAAGAGAAAAAGGGCAACTAACAGAATTGGAGAAAATATTTGCAAATCATATATCTGATAAGGTATTATATCTATAATATGTAGAGAATTCCTAATATTCCTAAAACAAGGAAACAAACAACCTGATTAAAATTTGGCAAAGGACTTGAATAGACATTTCTCCAAAGAAGATACACAGATATCCAGTAAGCCCATGAAAAGATTCTCAGCATCAATAATTAGTGAAATATCACCTCATACCTGTTAGGATGGCTACTATCAAAAAAACAGGGTTGCCTGGGTGGCTTAGTCAGTTGTGTCCGACTTCGGCTCAAGTCATGATCTCACAGTTCTTGGGTTCGAGCCCCATGTCGGACTTTGTGCTGACAGCTCAGAGCCTGGAGCCTGCTTTGGATTCTGTGTCCCTCTCTCACTCTGCCCTCCCCCTGCTCATGTGCTCACTTGTGCGCTCTCTCTCTCTCTCTCCCCCTCTATCAAGAATAAATAAAACATTAAAAAAATAAAAAATAAAACAAAATAAACGTTGGCACATGTGCACAGCCTTCTAGGTTCCCAGGACTGTGTCAGAATTTTAAAAAAAAATTTTTTTAATGTTTTATTTATTTCTGAGAGAGAGAGACAGCATGAGCAGGGGAGGGTCAGAGAGAGAGGGAGATACAGAATCTGAAGCAGGCTCCAGGCTCTGAGCTAGCCATCAGCACAGAGCCTAATGCGGGGCTCGAACCCACAAACTGTGAGATCATGACCTGAGCCGAAGTCAGACGCTTAACCAACTGAGCAACCCAGGCACCCCTGTGTCAGGATTTTTAAAAGCCCTCTATGGACACATTACCCAGATTGTTAAAATTTTTTAGCTTGGCTCCTCTTTATCCATATCACAGCCGATGGCAGCTGTGATATTAAAACAATTGCAGGTAATTGTTTTCAACAAATATCCTGAGGGATTGGGCTTTGCCTGTAGAGTAAACTACATGACTGGCTAAATAGCAACAACACCCTGCCACTGTGGCTCTGTGCTTTGAGGTTAGGGTTTTTTGAGGGGCTCAAAAACTGGCCTTGCTCCATTGAGGGTGCAGGATTGCTGCTTCTCAGAGCTGTCATGGTTGCAAGGCTGCTAGTTTTCAAGATTGTGGTAGCAATCCATAGAGAGGCTGGGAGTCTGCCTGGTTAAAATGCCAGAAATCCTGCTGTTCTTACCAAACTGCACTAGCTTTTCTTGAATGAATGCTCCTCAAATTGTGGTAAAACTTTGATTAATTTCCAGTGTTTCAAGTAAATTGATGTGGGCAAATTGGCAACTATTTTTAGTGCTTTGATGGAGGTTGTCACTTGGCCATTCTTGAAGTACTTCTTGGCGTATTCCCCTTGTAAAGAATCCTCTTCATCTTCATTTTTATGGAATGTCAGGAAGGGGATGAAGACAGGTAAATGTGTCTAGTCTGTCATCTTTACCCGGAAATCTACATCTTTTTTTTTTTTTAAGTTTGAAAACCACTGCTTTGTTTTACGAGGAGGTTACTTACATTTCAATTACCATTTTACAGTTAAGTTGCGTTGACATGGAAAGTGTCTGAATTGGGACCAAAGCCAGTTTTACTCACTTGTGATTTTCAAGGGCTTGCAGGGGCCCCAATGATATGTTGATATGGTCATATGATTTTGCAAAATTTGCCGAAGCAAGGTATTTTTTTTCTAAAGAGCCCCCCTCTACAAACCCATAATTTAAGCTCAGGCCTACAAAATTTCGACTCATACCAGACAGGATAAAAGACACATGTACATTTACATATTTTCACTGATTTTATTGATTGTAGTGCTATCTAGAACACTGGTTCTCAAACTTTAGCATGTCTATACATCACCAATTAATCTTTTAAAATTCTAGTATGTGTCAGTATTTCTAGGGTGGACCTAACACTCTGCATTTCTAACAATATCCCTTATGTTGCTGATTTTGCTTGTCCATGACCACATTTTGTGTTTTTTATTGTTTTTAATATAATTTATTGTCAAGTTGGTTTCTATACAACACCCAGTGCTCATCCCGACAAGTGCCCTCCTCAATGCTCATCACCCACTTTCCCGTCTCCCCCAACCCCCATCAACCCTCAGTTTGTTCTGAGTATTTAAGAGTTGTATGGTTTGCCTCCCTCCCTCTCTGTAACTTTTTTTTCCCCCTTCCCTCCCTCATGGTCTTCTGTTAAGTTTCTCAAGATCCACATATGATGGGGCGCCTGGGTGGCTCAGTCGGTTAAGCATCTGACTTTGGCTCAGGTCATAATCTCTCGTTTCTTGAGTTCTAGACCCACGTCCGGCTCTGTGCTGATAGCTTGGAGCCTGGAGCCTGCTTCAGATTATGTGTCTCCTTCTCTCTCTGCCCCTTCCCTACTCACACTCTGTCTCTCTCTCTCTCTCAAATATTTTTTAAAAATTAAAAAAAGATCCACATATGAGTGAAAACATATGGTATCTGTTTTTCTCTGCCTAATTTCACTTAGCATAATACCCTCCAGATGCATCCACATTGTTGCAAATGACCAGATTTCATTCTTTCTCTTTGACAAGTAGTATTCCATTGATATATATAAACTACATCTTCTTGATCCATTCGTCAGTTGATGGACATTTAGGCTCTTTCCATAATTTGGCTATTGTTGAAAGTACTGCTGTGAACATTGGGGTACATGTGCCCCAATGCATCAGCACTTCTGTATCCCTTGGGTAAATTCCTAGCTGTGCTATTGCTGGGTTATAGGGGAGTTCTATTTTTAACTTTTTGAGGAACCTCCATCCTGTTTTCCAGAGCAGCTGCACCAGTTTACATTCCCACCAACAGTGCAAGAGGGTTCCTGTTTCTCCACATCCTTGCCAGCATCTATAGTCTCCTGATTTGTTCATTTTAGCCACTCTGACTGGCATGAGGTGGTAACTCAGTGTGGTTTTGATTTGTATTTCCCTGATGATGAGTGATGTTAAGCATCGTTTCATGTGTCTGTTGGCCATCTGGATACATGACCACATTTTGAATGGCAAGAATCACCTTTCCTTTAATGATAAAAGAATTTTGAACACAAAAAAAGACTTTGGTTTGAATAAGTATAATCCTTCTTTCCTAAATTTTAAAATAATTAGGAGAGTTAACGAAGGGTGGGGTCATCTCAGAGGCAATCAATAAAGATTCTCCAAACTTAATTTTTTTTCAATGGTTTCCTGCATCCAACCCTCAAAATTAAAAAAGAAAAAACGTCCCTTCTCATTCACTTCATGCTTTTAGTAGCTGTGAGCATGAAGCAAACCTGGCTGATCTTAGCTGTAATTCCTTTTCCTGCTTCCTGACTTCCTTGGTTGGAGTTGCTTAACAACCAAACGCAGGGTCTCACTTAGCTCACTCTTCTCATATGACTTCCTTATGTGCCTCAAATCTAGATGATTCTGAGAGGACAAAAACAGGTGAGAAAAATGATAAGCATCTCACCCATTCCTGCTTTGTTCACCACTTCATTTTCCCCACGTCTCAATGTCTGATGCCATGTCCATTGTCACTAAAATTCCACAAAGGTGTATGCTTCCCTCTGTTGCCCTTGAACTTGTGTATGTATTTTATTATCTTTCCTCTCCATTCCTCATCAGGGCTGTCTGCTTTTAAATAATAAACTTTACAAAGAGCAATTTCCCTATTCACCAGGTGGAGCTGTATTAGAGTGCTAATGAAATTAACATTTTAAGAGAATTTGTGATTTGGTTTAATTAAAGGTGAGGGATTTGTGCAGTTGTTGATTCAATCAGAGAAAGAAGCTATTTGCTCTAGTGTCTAAAATTGTAAATGAGGATCAGAGTCACTTGATATATAGAAAAGACCTACTCTTTGAAAAATATAGCAAGCTACAGACAAAAAAAATTCACTCTTCACAGTACTTTTACATTGGATTGGTTAATACATATCTGATGAGGTAATATTTATTCCTAAAGCTACACGATTAAAGGATGCTTAGGGAAATAATCAGTTTCTAGGATCTTACATGGTTCATCCAGTCCTTGCATTTGCTTTTAGAATTGGAGTTTAATGAAGAAAAACTTTAATATGATCAACAGATTCATCTTCATTAAATGAAACCGTTATCTTACAGAAATATTTCCTTTTTTCTTTGTTTTTAGGTTGGCGTTGTAAACGGTATGGTCACCGAACAGGCGACAAAGAATGTCCTTTTTTTATCAAAGGCAACCAAAAGTTAGAACAGTTCAGAGTAGTAAGTAGAACCCCACCTTGTAAATTTACAGAAATACTGAATATTAATGAACCAGGCAGTAATCAGTGAACTGGAAGTTCACATAGAATACATTCACAGAAGCTTTTTGGCCAAAGTATCTAGTATTGACTACATCTCTTGTTAAATTACATTTGTGTGACAGATTAATTAACAAAAAACTAACTTTTTATTCAAGTGTTATTTGTTTACACCTTGGGATTAGTGATTCTTTTTCTAAAGCAGACATTTTTATTTACTCAATAATTTCAAGTTATATAAAATAATCATGTTTCATAAATAAATTAGGGGTTTGATTTCCCATTTTTTTAAATGTTTATTTATTTTTGAGAGAGAGAGAGAGAGCAGAAAGAGTGCAAGCAGGTAAGGGGCAGAGAGAGAGGCAGACACAGAATTTGAAGCAGGCTCCAGGCTCTGAACTGTCAGCACAGAGCCCGATGCAGAGCTCAAACTCATGAACCATGAGATCATGACCTGAGCTGAAGTCAGATGCCTAACTGACTGAACCACCCAGGTGCCTCTCCTAGTTTTTAAAGATTAAATAGCTTTATAAGCTAGAGGTGTGTGTATAAATTATATATGCTCTTTAGATGATAGTAAAATAGGCCTATTATTTCCTTACTTTATTTTAATAGAGTCATCTCCAAAAGGTGTTAATTTACCATTCACTAACTGCTCTGCCAAGTGAAATATGCTACTGTCTGGATGTATTGAGGTTGTCAGTATATGTCAGACTGGGGTCAACATTCTCTAAAGGTTTTAAAGAATTTAAGATGTTGTGTTTTTATTTTAATAATCTGTAATAATTTCTTTTTGATCTATCATTCCACTTCTAGGTGAAATGTCAATTTTTATAGATAGTATAGAACATAGTTTGGTGATAAATCGCAAAAAATTTGAACATACTCTTTTTATTTTTTTGACTCAGAAACCCCATTTCTGGGAATTTATTTTAAAGATACAAGAAAACTTCAACATATACACAACTGTTCATGTCTAAGGTTATGTATGTATAAGGATAACTCTAATAATTATATGATTGAAACAATGGAAATTGAAGAAAAATTGGAAATTTAGTAGTCTAATATATCATTAACATAAATTTCTCTGACATACAAATTAGTCATTAGGAATTTTTTTTTTTTTGAGATTTTATTGTTAGGAAAAAAAGGTTTTATTATTAGGGATGCCTGGATGGCTCAGTCAGTTAAGAATCCAACTGTTGATTTTGGCTCAGGTCATGATCTCACAGTTAGTGGGTTTGAGCCCCACAATGGGCTCTGTGCCGATAGCACAGAGCCTGCTCGGGATTCTCCATCTCCTTCTCTCAGTGCCCCTCCCCAGTCACATGCTTGCTCTCTCTCTCTCTCCCTCTTTCTCTCTCTCTTAAATGAATAAAACATTTAAATTATTTTTTTTTTATTTTTAAGTAATCTCTGTACCCAGTGTGGGGCTTGAACTCACAATCTCCAGATCAGGAGTCACATTTTCTACTGACTGAGCTAGCCAGGTACCCCAGAAATTATGTTTTAGAAGATGTCATGGAAAAATGTTCATGAAGACATAAGTAAAAAACAATCCAGTTGTGCATATAATAGGATTAATAATTTTTCATAAATGTATTAACATTTATTGAAAGAAAGAAACCAAATATTAATAGTAATTATCCCTAGGTAGGGAGGTAATAAGTTGTTTTTAACATAATTTTTTGGTAACATTTAAAATTTCTACAAATTAGATTTATTCCTTTTTAAAATTGAGATAATTCACATACTGTAACATTCCTCCTACATGTAATCTTATTTTTAAATAATTCAAGTCACTTTTTTTTTTCAAGTCACTTTAAATTATCTGTACTTCTGGTATACGTGCAGACTTTGAGGCATTTATTTATTTATTTATTTATTTATTTTAATGTTTTATTTATTTCTGAGAGAGAGAGAGAGACAGTGTGAGCAGGGGAGGGTCAGAGAGAGAGGGAGACACCGAATGTGAAGCAGGCTCCAGGCTCTGAGCTAGCTGTCAGCACAGAGCCCGACGCGGGGCTCGAACCCACGAACTGTGAGATCATGACCTGAGCCGAAGTCGGACGCTTAACCGACTGAGCCACTCAGGCGCCCCGACTTTGAGGCATTTAACATATATTTTTGTGTACCTATAAATGTTCCATTCTTATGTATCATTTTGTAATTTACTTGCATTTTTTAATACCATCTCTTGGTCATCTTTCCAAACAGAACAAAGCAAATTACCTCAATATTTCTACCTTGAATAGTATTTCATGATTCTGCCATGGTTTATGTTCTTGTAAAGGATATTTAAATTACAATCTGTATTTTTCTAATTGGAAAATTCTTTGTTAAAGCCTCAGTACGTTTGCAGTGACAGTAACCCTTAAGAAGCATTAGAACTTTTTGTTTTCATTTTTATTTTAGAGAGAATGTGTGAACAGGGAGAGGGGCAAAGAGTGAGAGAGAGATCCCCACGCAGGCTCCATGCTCAGCGCTCAGTGCAGAGCCCAACTTGGGGCTCGACCCCATGACCTCTGCACCATGACCTGAGTCAAAATCAAGAGTCAGACACTCAACTGACTGAGCCACCCAAGCACCACGAGAACATGTTAAACGGTACACCACACAGGAAAAAAAGCAGGTTTCAGTGAAATACGGATTTAATTTAAATTTAACTCAACAGTCCATGAAGCCCTAATCCAACCTTACCCTTCTCTAACCCTCAAGGCACATGAAGATCCCATGTATGACATCATACGAGAGAATAAAAGACATGAAAAGGATGTAAGGTGAGGTGATAATAATACCCTCATATATAAAGTTGGAAATACCCATTCTGGTATCAGACGAGTGGTTTCGTAATTGTGGTACTTTAGTTGTGAAATACGTGGAGGGCAGGAGGGATCACTGGAAAGGCCAGTGTGTGGGGAATGAGCAGGCCAGCCTTGTTCTATCTGGGTTAGCTTAAAGCAGTGGCCTTGGCCCAGTCTGCTTACACCACAGCTAGTTGATGTTGGCAACCATAGTTTAGTTTATCTTCTCCAGTGTCTTCAAGGATCTGAGCTATTGTCAAAAATTATCCTTAGACATGAACAAAGATAGGGTGAAGAAACGGGAGAGTTTGTTTTTCTCAAACGGGCAACTCTGAGTAATAATTGTTTTGAGGAAGTAGATTACTTGAGCAGTTGGGGGCGGTGAGTAAGGAAAGTAGGCATCTGTTACAAGTTATGTAGTAAGGACTCGAGACACATGCAGAAATATTTAGGACAATGAAAAGAATGCAGAATGGCTGTACACTGGTTACAGTCCTGTCAGATAGGCATGGCTGTGGACAAGAACGGGGAAGCCATGCACAAATAAAAATAAGGACCGTCTTCAACAAGGTGGTTATTCAGGACATTTTTTACCCTCACTGCTGCTCTTCATCATTGTTATCTGCAATTTTTTTAAGTTAAATATGGTTCTTTGGTCAAACTTCCATGTTTAGGATACAGCAGTTAAAACAGTTACTGGAGGACTCCACCTCCGATGAAGATGGGAGCAGCTCCAGCTCCTCAGAATGTAAAGAGAAACACAAGAAAAAGAAGAAGAAAGAAAAGCATAAGAAAAGGAAAAAAGAAAAGAAGAAGAAGAAACGAAAGCATAAGTCTTCCAAGTCGAATGACAGTTCAGACTCAGACTGACGAGGACTGGACTTACTCCACATTCTCCTCTCAAAATCAGACACGGTGGCCCCAGACCAGTGGGGGTGGAATCGGGGAGGACTCGGAGGCCCTGAGAGAGCAGGGCATTCGGTGTCACGCGTTTGAATTCTTACCTGCCTTCTGGTGAAGATGTGCCCCCCGGAGGGTGAGTTGTGTGTTGCCAGGGCACTGGCTCTGGACGGTGGCTGATTTCAGGCAGGAAAGCTTTGGTCACTGTCTTCCTCCTGCTGCCCCTGCAGTTTGTGACTCCTTGAGCTGCCTCTGCCAGGGGGGCGGGACTGGGGGGTAGTTTCTGAGGAATCTCCCTCCAGGTGCTGCTGCAGCCTTCCCCTCCCCAGGCGAGTTCCCAGAATCCCCAGAGACTCTAGGCGTGGCTTGTCTCTATGGTCAAGGATAATAAAAGCTCATTATTTTATTTATTTAAAAATACTTATTAATTTAGTTTTGAGTCATAACATCCTTTCATGGTCCACATTAAAAGGTACATAAGGTTTAATCAGGAAAAATCTACCTCTTCTCTCCCTCAGCCACTTCCCCAATGTCAAATGTTACCAATTAATTGTGAAGTCATCCAGAAATATTTATGTATCATAGAACAAATTTTTTTTCTCTTTTTTGCATAGTATGAACATTTGTCGGCACTAGTTTTTTCATTAAAAAAAAAAAAATGTTATTTAAGAGAGAGCGAGAGAGCACGAGCAGGGGAGGAGCAAAGGAGAGAGCATCCCAAGCAGCCTCTGCACTGTCAGCGAAGAGCCTGAATCGGGGCTCTAACTCACGAACCTTGAGATCATGACCAGAGCCAAATGTCAAGAGTCAGATGCTTAACTGACCAAGACACCCAGGTGCTCCCTTTTTTTTTTTCATTTAACTCAACAGTATAAAGCATGTTGGGCTTTGCTGCACTCAAAAGACCTATAGTCGTAAACCCTAGCATGATTGCTTGAGGGTTTTTTGGAGGGCTAGGATACCCTGTAATAACATTGAAAAATTATGTATTTAACTTGCTTAGGTATTATTGCTATTTTCCCACGACTGTTATTATTTCTAGAATTAGATTCAGAAAAATTACAAGGTTATAGAGATTACTGGGTTAGCTACCCACATCCTCAAATACATCCTCATCCTGTTGGCTAAGCACAGTCCACCTATAAACAGCTGCAGCTGAAGCAGCTCAGCAGGTTGGGGTGGTGCCTGCATGCAGTTAGGGAAGGGTGTCTGTTCTTTGCTGAACCAAAGTGGAGCCAGATCTTGGTCATGAGCAAGTGTCCTTCCCTCTCCACCAGCATCTGTTGCTGCTCTCATCATTCAGGGTCCCCGGAACTCATTATTCCTACTTTCTGCCACTTTCCCTGGGGTTTCTCCTCTCTTTAAAGAGTAGCTGCTGCAGTCCAGGCTGGCTCCTTCTCTAGCTCCCTTTAGTAACTGTTCCTAGCCTTGGTCTTAGAAAGTTTATTTCAGTAACACAATTGGCTCAGATTGGAAGGACCAGGATTTGTTATTTCTGAAAACTGTAAGGCAGTTCATTCAGCCATGTCTTACATTTACCCTTGCCATCCTAGCTCAGCATGCAATGGGAAATTCTCCTTAGAGGATTTTTCTTTCTCTTGCTAGAGACCCATTCCTGGTAAACATATTCTGTTACAATATGGGAGAATAATATTGATGATTCTTAAACTTGCAGGGCAGCAAAATCACCTGGAGTGGTTGTTGAAACAGATTCCTCTGTCCTGCTCCTAGAGTGTTAGAATTTCTGATTTACTAGGTTTGGAGTGGACTGGAGAGTTTGCAGTTCTGTCAAATGCCCAAATGATGCTGGCGCTGTTGGTTTGGGGGCCAGACTTGGAGAACTGCTGCTTTAAATGTTAAACCTCTTCCTGAAGCCTTCTTCTACTTCCTGCTCTAACTGGAATCTTGGCATCCACTGCAACCCTTGCAAGTTAATTCCTCCTCTCTCACTCTGGGTTTCTCTGTCTTCTGTTTCTGGTCTAAATTCTGTGTTCCTTTACTTCAGTCTGTCAAAGCCCTTGACCTGTAGTCCTTTTGCCCAGTTTACCCAGCAGTACCTCAGAGTAACCTCTTCCTCCTTTGTTCCAATTCCCAGAGTGCTGAGCCCATAAAGCTCATCAATCAAAAATTCTTCATCCAAATTTCTTCCTTCAGACTCAGTACTCTCCAGTCCTATTTAAAAAAGGAAGAGAAGTCACTAGACCTCCTTCTACCAAGGTATCCATCAACCTGTCATCATGGCTGTGGTGGGCAGAATTACAAAGTAACCTCCAAGATTTGTCCAAATCTGTAGAAATTTTTACTCTGGATTTTATTCCTGTGATTAGATTATGATACACTGGAAATATACATATTTTCGTAAATATATGGATGGTCAGAACCAGATGACGTGACAATTTTAAAACCAGAAGTTTTTAAATTTACTGGCAGGTAGCAAAGAGCAAATCACATTCCAAGTTTGAGAAAGACTCGATGTACTGTTGGTGGATTTATTTTATTTATTTATTTATTTTTAAAGTTTTTTTTTTTAATGTTTTATTTATTTCTAGGAGAGAGAGAGAGAGAGAGAGAGACAGCGTGAGCAGGGGAGGGTCAGAGAGAGAGGGAGTCACAGACTGAAACAGGCTCCAGGCTCTGAGCTGACAGTCAGCACAGAGCCCGACGCGGGGCCCGAACCCACAAACCGCGAGATCATGACCTAAGCGAAAGTCGGACGCTTAACCGACTAAGCCACCCAGGCGCCCCTGGTGGATTTATTTTAAATTGAAGGGGTTGGGGCACCAGGCTGGCTCAGTAAAGTATGCAACTCTTGATCTTGGGCTTGTAAACTAAAACCCCACATTGGGTGTAGAGATTACTTAAAATCTGAAAAAAAAAAAATGAAGGCACCATATAGCAAGGAAATATGGCAGCTTCCAAGAGGTGAAAGCAATCCTTGGCAACAACCAGCAAGGAAATGGTCACCTTAGTCCTACAGTACTTGAGGGAACTCACTTCTGCTAATAGTCTAAATGATCTTGGGCATCTATTCTTCTCCACAGCCTTCAGGTAATAACCTAGCCTGTCCACACCTCATTTTGGCATTATGAAGTGCTAAACTGAGATCCTAATCTATTCTACCCAGATTTCTGACCTACAGACCTATGAGATAATAAAGGGTGATGCTTTTAGTTTTCATCTTTTTAAAAATTCAGACTCCTTTTTTTTACAGCCATTTTAAGTTCACAATGGAATTGAGCAGAAACTACAGAGATTTTCCATATATTCTGTGTCCCCACATACCCACAACCCCACCTCTCACATCAACACCCGAATGGTCCACTTGTTACATTCGGTATCCTACCGTAACACATCCTGTCTCCCACAGACGCTTCTGCCATGGGAAGTTGTGATTTTCCGTATCTGCCTCCCTCTCCAATTTTTGGATCAGCGGTTTTGCCTTGACCTCTATTCTTTGATGAAATTAGGGAGATTTGGTAATTTTTTAGTTCTTTTTACATCTTAGGACAGAGTGTGAAGACTCCTACCTCCCTTCTATTCCTGAAACCAATACTATACTATATATTAACTAACATAAATCTAAATACAGAGATTTCTTATCTCTTCATATGCTGGCCCAGAAACCAGAAGTCAATGGTTATTGTTTTAAGCCACTACGTTTGTTGAAATTAGTGACTGCCCCACGTGTCTGGAAGCTTCTTTAGGGCAGAGACCAGCTTGTTTCATGTTCTAGTCTCAACTTTATTTCTTTGTTTATTTCTTTGTTTATTTTGAGAGAGAGTTGCATGTGCATGTTCATGTGCGAGCAGGGCAGGGACAGAGAGAATCCTAAGAAGGCTCCATGTTCAGTTGAGCCCAACATGGGACTCAATCTCATGACCATGGGATCATAACCTGAGCCAAAATCAAGAGTCAGACACTGAACTCACTGAGCCACCCAGGCACCCCTCTAGACTCAACTTTTTTTTTTATTTCTTTTGAAAGACAGAGAGAGACAGACAAACAGAAAGCCCAGGTGGGGGAGGGTCAGAGACGAGAGGGAGGGAATTCCAAGCAGTCACTATACTGCCAGCACAGAGCCGGATGTTGGATTCGAACTTCTGAGCCATGAGATTATGACCCTAGCCAGTCAGACACTCAACCAACTGAGCCACGCAGATGCCCCTAGACTTGACTTCTAACAGAATGTGAATAGGGTTACATGCTCCAGTTGGAACCTGATTTGGAAGTTGTAGTGGATGCTGTGTTGTGCTAATGGTATTTCCCTAATTCCCCACTACTGACTTGAGGACTAAAGTATTTACCCTCCCACCTGCTGGGATGGCTGACAGCCTGACAACTTGCAACTGACTTCTCCTATCCAGGGACTGACCTTTCTTAAAGCCACAGTACCCAAGGTCACGCTTCCTTTCCAAGGGCCATCCTGTATCAGTGACTGGTTAATCCATGGGTATATGGGTGGCCTCTTACCCCAGTTGAGAAAACCCTGCAGGATCATGGCAGCTCAGGAGCTCCCAATGGGATTGGCTGAGGTCTTTGTTCTTGCTTTATCACATCCAAACTTCTTCCCTGTGCTTAATCATGCTTTCTTTGCCCCTTCAGAGATTTTATTCCGCAAAGCACTGTCTATTAGAGCACTCCCTGCACACAAATCTTCATGCCAGAGTCTGACCCTAAGGAACTTAATGTGCCATGGGGTATAATAACCATTTGGAAAAATGAAAGGGAAGGTGATGTCAGGATGTACCCTTCATTTTGGACTCCAGTTTCCAAACCTATGCTTGGCTTCTCATCTAGCCTCTAGAATAAAGACTTTAGGAAGGATTACATGGCAGGAAAATGTTCATTGAACTTGTCATCTTCTTTTTGTGTTAGCTCTTCCATATACCGGCATTACCATCTTCCCTGCCTTCCAGGGTCCAACATCTTCCTACTAGCGAGAGAGCCCCAGTTATGGTCCATTTAAGTGTCTTAAATTAGTTCACCCACACTTCAAACTCCTATTTCACAGATGTCAAAAAAGCAATCAGATTCAACTCATATTAACACATTAATGAAAAGCTACACTCCTTAATCTTCTCATGGGGACTTGTATGTGAATGAATCAGACTGTTGGAATTTGAATGAATCAGAACTGTTGGTGGGGAGGTAGAGTAGTGGAATGCCTTCCTGTAGTTCCCAAATAAGCTCAAGAGTTGGATTATCTGGACTCAAGTGTTCCTTATTGTTCAGTTACTCCAGCCAAAGCATTCCTAACTTAGCTTTCCCATTTCAGTTATGTTCTGGGCTTGGAATGATGGTGGGAACAGTGCCAAGAACAAAACTGTCCATTTAAATTGATACTAGGCCATTCATTCACAAATATTTGAGTGCATATGACATGCCAGGCTCTGTACTAACTATTCCATGGATACTGTATTGGAGACCATAATCTATAGCCCTAAGGAATACATGGTCTCAAGGGTATAAGCGTTGTAACTTTCCTGTGTCACGTTGCATACATAATGGGCTATGAAAGTGAAAATGCAGGTGTTACTAGAACATAGGAGAATCCAGCCATGGGTGAGGATAGAGGTCACAGATATTCTCCTAGAGTATCTACTCAATCTTTTAAATAGGGCTTAGGCAGGAGATAAGTCACAGATCTTTGCATAAGACCAGCTTTAGAAACTGTATCATCTTTTGCTTGCCTTTTTGCATCTCATCTGAAAACATGCAGTGCCATCACTTTTTACTATCTCCTTAATCCATCTTGAGAGGTACTTTGTTACCATAGGGAGTTAAAAATATAAAAAAATATAGTAAAAATATACATATATATTTAAAACTCCTCACTGAACAACTTACAGGCAATATTGAGTGGACCTATCTATATCTATTAAAATATTGCCGATACAATCACTCAGTCCTTCCAAGAGGTAACCCTAGCCTCTCCATATCTGCCAAATACCTATACCTTACAAATACCCTTAGGACAGCTTTCATCCACATGTAAACACTGACACCTAGTCACAGACTTAACCTGTACCTTTTATTGGGAGAAGACTGGTTCCACAAATTTACTATCTAGGTCATAGGTTCTGAGTATAAGGAACTCTTGTTTGCCTAAAGTTTCCTGTGTTTCTACGAGTGCACATCGGAAGTAAATAACATATACTACAAACCCACCCTTCAGCCCGCACTGGACATACCCATCAGTGGATCTACTATATGCCTGGTTTCCATTTATAAAAAATGAATACTGTCTCTCTCTTCAGGGCAGTTCCTGTTCATGGGGAATCCATCTATTTATTGTATCTTCAACGCTGCCATCCTTTTCCCCATATATAAAGGTCCCTGGGGATTATAAGACCATAATATACATGGTAGAAGTATTCATGAATGACCCAACTTTGTTGGTGTTTCCAGTGATGTGGCCATTTTGAGAAGGGAAGAAAACGCTTAAGAATCAGGGGTGCCTGGGTGGCTTAGTCGGTTAAGCGTCCGACTTTCGCTTAGGTCATGATCTCGCGGTTCGTGGGTTCGGGCCCCGTGTCGGGCTATGTGCTAAATGCCAGCTCAGAGCCTGGAGCCTGCTTCAGTCTGTGACTCCCTCTCTCTCTGACCCTCACCTGCTCACGCTGTCTCTCTCTCTCCTAGAAATAAATAAAACATTTAAAAAAAATTAAAAAAAAAAAAAAGACACACATATGCAATTCAATTTATTTGCTGTTTTATATCTTTTAATTCCAAAGGCTTTACAGAGTCACATTTTCTTGTTTGTTGGTATAACAGCTTTATTAGATTAAATCAAGGGGTGATCACATGTTCTAAACCACCATAATGATGCAACAATTAGTTCTTTTATGTAGCTGGAACTCAGTATTTGTTTCCTGTAAAATAATAGAACAATACAGTTCCTAAAATCAACTGTATAACAAACTCAAGATATCCCATACAGAGAATCATTACTAATATCTTTAATTTTCATCTTTAGGATAAAGTTAAAGGAAGGTCTTAACATTTTGCCTGAGCATGATTATCAGTCTTTACTTTATGACCACTGCAAGGCAAGAATGGCCCATTTAAAAGGCCAATAACCACTTGCTCCCTGACACCCTGGGCCTAGGAGTTGAAAGTGTGTCAGGGATACTCAATGCCAAGACTCCGTGTGACAAGAAGCCTGTCAAACTACTAGACCCTTAAGGAAGATCCTGAACTTCCAGTGCCCAGCTCTAAACTGGGATACTTTGACTGAACCGATAGGATAACTTAAAAAATCCCATATAACCCACAACAGACTACCAGAACAACACTGGGAATTAAATGTGGAAAACTGATACAAGAATGACATTCCACAGAATAAAAGGCTTTGCCTCCAATCTGCTTGTAAGCAAAGATCTATAGATACAAGTCTACTACCCAGTTAGGATGCTGCCATTTTCACTGCCCACAAGCAATGTTAGTTTTAGAGGACAGAACATGCACTGAGTATGAAACCCCAAACAAAGCCCTATCAATGAGACACCAAAACTGGACACAGGATAGATACCAACTCTGTACCTGCTGGCTGTTTCCTAAACTTTACAGCATCTGCTTCAAATCTGTTTGAAACTTTTAAGGTACCTTGCTTTTCCATTTCTCACAGTTATCTGAGGAAAGAAGTGATTCATACATTAAATAACCCAAATTGCTTAAAAAATGGAAAAAAACATAAAAACACATCTTTCAAGAAAACCTATTTTTCAAGATCTTATTCTATCATTCTATAGTCCTTAGCAATAAAAAATATAATAGACACAATCTAGAGATTTCAGCCTGAATATTACCATCTTGACTGCATTACCAAGAGTAAATTAAAGTTGTCTTCTTCACAGGGCTGTGATAGGATGGAAAAAACTGATTCCTACACACTGATGAGAAATGACAGCAGAGGCAAATGAGTCTTTAAGAAGACTAAAGGTAAGATGGCCAGTGTTCTGGTTTAGGAGCTAAGACTGAAAATTAAATTTCCTAGGGGTCTTTATGCATCCCATTCATCCCTTACCTACTTGATTTCATTTTTGTACCCCAGATAGAATCATCCCCCAGGCTCTATTTTGGGTCCTTCCCACTCATTTGAGCCCCCTCCCTAAAAATACGGTGGTCCAAACGCCAGCTTCAACTAGGTGTGCATGACCTGCTGGTCCAATCCTCCCCCCCGACAACCACACAATAGAGCAAAACAAATTCCCTTCCCAAGTTTACTTTTCCACAGACGTTACCATTTTCTCTAGATGCTCAAGTTCAAACCCCAGCCTTTTATTCTTAAGGAATCAATTTCATTAATAAATTCACTGAGATGTAGATCTTTTACTCCCATGTGAGTTAGGACCTTCATCACTCTTTATATCCAGTGTTCACTAAAACTGACTATATACAGGGGTTTCAGCCATATAGGCAGAGTTCAAATTCCTCCTACACTGCACTGCCAGCTGAAGATTCCTAGAGCATACTTCTTCCTGTACTTTCTCTATTCAGTTTGCTGTGGCAAATCCTTATTGCCTAGAGGACAAACATCTAAAAAGGAAAATTACTACTGTAGCCCATTCTGCTTAGACCTACTTTCTCAACTCCTCTCAGGTCTCCCCTCTGGCCTGCTGGTCTCAGGCTCAAACCCTGGAACACACTTGACCTGCCCAGACTGCCCATTTGATGAGCTCACGCTACGGTCTCCATTCCCACTCCACACCACAGTCCCCAAATGTGTTTCACAATTCACTGCCTCCACATGGACTGCCCATTCTCAGCAACTGCACCTACATCAATGTCCTTTTCTCTCAACCCCACTGTCCTTTACGACCGCTCAGCTCTCCATCATCTGCCACAGCTCTTTGTTTCAAATTACATTATGATTTCTAGAATGCAGGACCTCAAACGGGATCTCTGCCAATCCTACACACATGGGCACCTACAGTTGTTTAAGAACATACTTTCAAAATGCAGAAATATTATTGGTCTATGGCTGCCTTTGCATCCAGGACCCAGTACAGAAGCACCACAGACAACCAAATAGGATCAGCCCATTAGTCACTTACATTCCCATGACTTGTGAGAGGCTCTCTTGGAGTCCAGTCCCTCCTGCATGGCCATTGTATGTTCCCTTTGGAGCCTGCCATCCTGTCCGGTCACCTTATACACCATAGGGATGATCTTATATTCACCATGCTTTAACCTGTCCTTATTTCTGGTGGTCCAGACAGTAAGTTGAGGGAGAGACCACTTAGGTGGCATCCTGATTATCCTGCTGGCCTTGCAATAAATCCTTCCTTTCAAAGAAGTCACAGGGTCTGGTGGACTAATTTCTTCAAAGAAGCATTCTACCTCTTACATTTCATCTTAAACTTCCTCTTCAAACTCACAGTCCTCTGAATCCTTGGGAAGTACAGGGTTTAAGCCAGCATTTTTCTTCAATAAATACACTATATTACCACTTGAGAAATTGCTGAGGGTTTTCTGCTTCTTGCCTTTCACAGTCTTTTTAATCTTGGCACACTTTTTGAAGTTCTCATGATACTCCTCAATCTCATCATTCATGGTTATTTCTTCTTCATTTGTGTTCAATTTCCCATTCCTGATCGACTTTCTCTGCGATCCCTTAGTTTTGTAGTCTAGTTAGTGATGACTCATGTTTGGAAAGCATTTGCTCAGGGGATTTCTCCAGCTCTGCATCCTGCCACCAGCTCATATCACACTGAATGCCTCCATCGACCTGGTTGAACTGGGCCAGTGAGATGGGGGAAGGACATAATTCTCCCAGTAACTGCTACTCTGTATCACTTCAACTTCATCCACATTCACAGAGAAGCCATGGCCCACACTACCATTATCTGACATGTTTTCTCCAATGCTAAGGGGACTGTGGGATTTGGACTGTAGGCCCAGGTCTTCAGTGGCTTTATTGCTGGAGCTGACTGTCCTTTCCTGCTGGAGCTTGTTGCCATCTCCAGAAGATAGGCACAGATTTGAATTCAGCGTATCCTGGATTTCATCTCTGTCTTTTGCTTCATCTGGAGAAGACAGGAATTGGGGGCAGTTACATGGTCTTTTTCTTTTTTTTCTTGACCCAAGTTCATATTCATGATGGAGCCCAACTTCACCACATCATCATGTCTTACATCAGGACACTGCTCCAACCAGACAGTGCTTTCTTCATCTTTACATGTAATGCCCTCTGTACCCTCATGAGGGTTAAAAAGCACACCTCTACTTTCCCAAGAACTCTGTGTAATTCTATTGTACTGCACCATCTTCTCTGGCATGGCTTTACCATAAGCTAGGTCATACAAATGAATAGTTTCCTTCAAAGTCTTCCAAAACTGCGTTCCAGGGGATCCTTTGCTCTGTTCTAGCCTCATTTTCTCTTCCTCAGATGCAAAGTCTCCTGAGGTGATGTTCTACACAAGCTGTTATTAGAAGCGCTCTCACCACGTAGCTCCCTCTTCTGGGCAACAGAAGACAAAACCCCATCTGTTTCTTAGGAATGTTGTCTGTTTCTATGTCAATATCAGAAGTAGGGATACTGGTCACCATCTCACCTTCTGAGGGGGTATCTTGTTTCTCAGTCATATTTGCAGCCTGCTGAGGTTCAGTCTCAGTGTCTCTTTTTTTTTGTTTTCTTTCTATAGGCACTACAGTGCTGGTACTGTGCTGTGTTACAAAACTTAGGTCTTCAGTTAAGTGTAGTGGGCAATGGGGGCTGAGGACAAGGAAGCCAGGATAGTCACTGAGTACCACTGAAGATGGAAAATACAGACTTCCATTTCTAAAACCTAAAAAGAGAATACAGTAGTTAATGACTCTGTCTCCTGCAGCCAGTCCCAACATTCTGCCAGTACACAGCCATGTGGCCACACCAGTTGTTAAAATATGGAGTTTCTTCCACACTAGTTGGTAGCTAATGGCCCCCACCTTCTCCCCTCAGGATTCAACAAGTGAAAGGGCAATGACCACATCAGTGAGGCCTCCTGCACCCTCCTTCACTACAAGAGCACGCATCTGTTCTGACTGGTTGCCAGGCCATCAGATAGCATATCGTGAATCACCCCTACTTAGTAGTGGCCCTTTTTCAAAGAGACCAAGCACCCACTAAGCATAATTCCAGATTGTTGTGGCTGAAAAAAGAATAATTATGTCAGCTCTTATAGAGCAAAGGAGAACAAAAGTCCTTTGTATGTACAAGCCTTTCTAAACCTGTTCATTCAGCACTATTCATTCACTCATATACACATCTTTCCCCATTTTCCACTCTTTAGGGGTAAACAGTACAATGGTGCCAGTAATGACAGACACGCTTCTCTCATACAAATTCATTTAAGGAAAGCCATTTGCTTTTGGAAAACAGATGTATACAACTGACAAAATTAAGATAAAATTTCTACTTAGTATATAAAAGCAAAAATTATACTCAGATCAGTGTTTATGAGACAGTTTACTCAATATGGTGAGGATGATCTTTTGAACTCAATTTCAGTGTTTAAGACTGCATCAAAATGCCTCTCGGACCTGGCCTAATGTATTTATACATACAAGCTTATGGGTTGCTTCCTGTATTGAAAGGAAACAGATAAGTCACAGCTTGGGAACTCAACACTGTCTATAGAGGTTAGAAACCAACAGAATAAAGCTCATGACACAGGTAACCTCCTACCATATGTTGTACCATATCATATAGTAGAACAAAATACCATAGAGGCAGATCCCTGCCAGTAGAATCTACCACAGGACCCTATCCAGCCACTCACTGCAAAAATATAGGTGTTAAAATTTTATCACTCACTAATCGCCAAAATCTATGGCTACTCTTTGTAATAACTTCCCTCTTCTGCTATCATGCAAAAAACTTTGAAGTCCTCTCCCTTGTTTTTACCTCATTAATTTCCTTGACCCATCCCCCTGACATTCACAGGTCTGTAATCCCTACTACCTCCAGAATTATCTTTTTTTTTTCCTGAAGTAATCTCTACACCCAACCGTAGCGATTACCCAACTGTGGGGCTCAAACTCATGACCTTGAGCACCAAGAGCCGGATGCTCTACCAAATGAGCCAGCCAGGTGCCCCCAGAATTATCTTTCTGACTCAACTGTGATCCCTCCTCATTCCAGACACAGTATTTGAAAGGCTTATCACTGCCATTCAGGAAATGATGAACAATGACTCCATTCTTTAGGATGCCATAAAGCCCTTTATTATCTGATTTGTATCTGTATCGTCTTCCTGTCCCACTAAGCCTATAGGCTCTAGCCATATGTGGGTTCCTCACAGGCCAACTTCTTTCCGCTTTTCTGGGAATTCCTCCTTCCCTACTTCTTCCAACTGCTACCGAAACCTTTTATATATGTGTGTGTGTGTGTAATATATATAATAGATATCATATATACATGTATTAAATATAAGATATATGTAATAAATATAAATTTATACGTATCCGTGTGTATACACACACGCACAGACACACACACACACTTTAAGTAGGTTTCACACCCAGCACAAAACCCAATGCAGGACCTGAACTCACATCCTTGAGATCAAGACCTAAACTGAAATCGAGTCAATGTTTAAGTGAGTGAGGCACTCAGGTACTCTAAAACCTTTTTTTTTCTTTAAACTTTTTTTTAATGTTTATTTAATTTTGAGAGAGAGCCAGAGTGTGAGTGGGGGAGGGAGTAGAGAGACAGAATGGGAGAAACAGAATCCTTAGCAGGCTCCAGGCTCCCAGATGTCAGCACAGAACGAGGCACAGGGCTTGAACTCACAAACTGCAAGATCATAACCTGAGCCAAAGTCAGACACTCAACGAACTGAGCCTTCCAGGTGCACCCCACCACCTTAAAAAAAATTTTTTTTTACTCTTTATTTATTTTTGAGAGGGAGAGAGACAGAATGCAAGCAGGGGAGGGGCAGAGAGAGAGACACACACAGAATCCAAAGCAGACTCCAGGCTCTGAGCTGTCAGCACAGAGCCTGACATGGGGCTCGAACTCACAAACTGCGAGATCATGACCTGAGCCAAAGTCAGATGCTTAACTGACTGAGCCACTCAGGTGCCCCAACCTTTTGTATTTTAAATGGAAATCTTCCCACTTGTGACAACAGATGGATCTTGAAGGCATTTTCCTAAGAGAAGTCAGTTGTACAAAGAAAGTCAAATGCTGTATCATCTCACCTATATGTAAAATCTAGAAAAGATGAACTCAGAAACAGTAGAATGGTGGCATTGCCAGGGGCTGGGTGGTGGGAGAAATGGGGAATGTTGGCCAATGTTAAAAGAAAACTAATTCATCTTGTTATACAAAGGAGGCAATAGATGCAAAGTGGATTTAATACTCAAAATCAGCCTATTTATAAAAGCATGAGCCTCTCCCTCTATTTCAATTGTACACCTATGTGTACTGCATGTCTAATTATTATTAAAAGCTGGTAGAGTTTCTGATTCTAGATATGTAAGAAGTTTGGAAGTGACTTACTCCAAACAGTAAAAAGCTGAACTGAAAAAAATCAAGAATTCTTCCCAGACCCTTCATAGCAGTAAGTTACAGGCAAAGTTCTACCCCAGTGTTGGAGAGATATGTGAATGCAGATAAGTACAACTTAGAGGAACATAAACCAAAGAGATAAAAACTCCATGAGAACTAGTAGTGGGACAGGGAAGCCTGAACTGTTACTGACAAGTTGCAGGCTCAAGGAGAACAAATCTGAGAGTTAAAAACTTCAAAGGGACCCATTCATAGGGAATCCTCCCCCTGCCCTTTGCTTTTTTGAATTTTATCTACAGTAGTTCAACCAGGTTCTTACAGTAAATCTGGGAGAAAGATCCCTCAGGAAGAGGCGGGAAGAGGACCACCCTGTGACATACACAAGGAGAACTCCAACCAACACTAACACCAGACCTCAGGACAAGCTAGTTGACCAGAGCCTCAATGGGTGTAAGCAAATACTTATCTCAAACCCACCCGGACCACCTTCCCTGCCTAATGGGAGGAGGCACAGTTTATAGTCCAAAGGCACAATCTCACTAAAAAACTGAGACCTAAAATCACAGCCCTCCTATAACCATAGCACTATGATCCCTGTCCCACCTCTATAACTTATCATG